CGAGGCGGCTAATAAATGTCATCGTGGGCACAGCAACGAAACAACATCCGCCGGGCCTTCGAGGCCGGCGCCTCCGCCAGGACCTCCGCCCAAGGCTCCGAGCTCCTGCGCCTGCCGGGCGGCCAGCAGCTTCTTTTGAGTCGCCCTGACGGACAGCCCACCCGCGCCGGGCAGTTCTACTATCAGCTGGCCGGTCGCCGGGCTCCCTCCCGTCGCTTCGACGAGCGGCAGCAGCTCGTGCGGGACGGGCCCAACGACTACATCTACCTCCGAGGCGGGGCCAAGAGGCTGGTCCGCAGCCTGCAGCCCGACGGCTCCTACCGGGTCACCAAGCTGGGCAGGAGCTTCTTCAAGGACAAGTGGACCGACTACATAGCCCACATGCCGGTGAAGATCAGGGGGCGCAGGCGGAACGGGAGGCCCTACGAGCGCGACTTCTTCCTGCCTGTCACGCTGGACGGCCTGGGGCGCCAGAGCGATTCGCTCGGCGAGGCGCAGGCGCACCAGAACGTGATCGCGGCGGCGCTGCGGAAGATGAGCGATCCCGAAGATGGGGGGGTTGTCATGGAGCTTAGCGAGGAAGTCTATACCTACGACACCTCCCGGGACTGGGGCGTCTCCAAGCAGACCATGGAGGTGGTCGACAATCGTGTTGAGACCCAGGTGGCGCTGAACCGGCCTTTGGGCGTGCTCCGCGAGGTGTCGTTCCAGCTCTTCCGGGGCTCGGAGATTCTGGAGAGCGCCTTCGAGCAGCGGGACGACCGGCTCTGCGTGGTGCGCCAGCTCGCGGAGCTGCTCGAGGCTCCCCTTCGAGGAGGTCTACAGTGACTTCGATGCCATTTGCCCCAGGAACTGGCAGAGGAAGGGCGTCACCTGCCAGCAGATGCGCGAGTTCTGCGAGTGGCGCAAGGCGCCCCTGTTCATCGTGAACTGCCGCGGGCAGCTGCTGGACTGCTACGAGCCCGCCGACAGGGAGCGCTGCGCCGTGGCCTGCTGCGTGTATCGGGACCACGCTTTCTTTTATCGGAACGCCCGCGCCGTGGCCTTTTGCGACGGGGAGCCACGGGATCAGCCCAAGTATCGGGGCGAGAAGAAGGAGTCCTCCGTCCCGCTCTTTCGTGACTGGAAGGAGTGGCAGGAAATCGTGGAGCCCGGGCACTTCTGGACGAAAAACCTGCAGCTGGCGCGGTCCCGGCTGCTTGGCCAGGGCCACCAGCCCAGGGTCGCGATGCGCGGCCTCGTGGACTGGCGCTACCTGCGCCTCAGAGCCAAGGGAGGGGACTGCGTCATCCACGAGTATCCGGAGGACGCCGAGGCTCTTGAGGCTTGGATGACCAAGCTGGACCTCGTCGGCTACCGGGGGCAGCGCCTCGCCGGGGCGGCCAGCCAGGTCTTTTCTGCCCTCCTCAAAGCTCGCCGTGACCGGGGCAACGTGCACCAGCTCCTGCGGGAGCAGAAGGGCGCTTGCGCTTTTGTGTGGGGCCCCCATCGAGCCCGGCGGCTGCGAGGCGGACCACATCGTGCCCGTCCACCAGGCCTACTACGGCCAGACCCAGCCCATGCAGGCCCTCTGTATGGAGTGCCACGCCTCGAAAACCTTCCTGGAGTGCTCCCATGCCACGAGCCTGGAGAGCCGCTTTTGCCGCCACGTCCTGGAGACCTACGCCCGCTCGCCTCGACCGCCGGCCCTGGTCTGCAAGCTTTCCAAGTGCGATCCCGACCGGGTCTGCCACGGCGTCGACGTGGTGCGCTGCCGCAAGAACGCCCTGGCGAACGCTCCCTTTCCGCTGCCCGTGTTCTGTCCGCTCGACAACATCCGCGCCGCCGAGGAGGGGAAGCTGGCGGATTTGACCTTCGTCAGGAAACGGGAGGATCGGCGCTCGCCCTTCGTGGGCAGGTTGCCTTACCTCGGGCCGGGCTGGTACGGCAAGCCCGCCACGGCCTTCATGCTGGAGACTGGCCTCGCCACCTGGGCCGACTTCGAGTGGTCCCTGGACGCCACGGCCCACGTCTCCCCGGACTGCTTGTCTCGGGCGCTGGAGATCATGGAACGGGCCTGGCCGGAGGGCGAGGAGCACATGGCCAAGCTCTCCGTAAACGCCCTCATCGGCCTTTGGGCTCGCTCCAAGGACGTCTTTTACTCCATGAGGACCAGTGATCACGAGGTGGACGGCCGGGGCTGTCAGTACCAGCAGGTCTTCTTCGACGACCAGGGGCGATGCCACTACGACCATGTCTATGCCACGGAGCTCTTCTCCAACTACTCCATGAAGCCGGCGCACGACTTCGTCATGGCCAGCGAGCACGTGGAGCTTGCCAGGATCCATCGGGCCCTGCGCGAGGTGCCGCCCCGCTACCTCGTGGCGCTGAAGACGGACTGCCTGGTCTTCCAGAACCTGCCCAAAAAATTCCTCAAGGACGTGGAGTCGCTCGCCAGGCACCGGCACCGGGACTGCACGCCGAAGTATCGCTTCGAGGAGGTGAAGCGCCTGGAGGGGGAGTACAGCGAGCCGCGATTGGAGGCCGAGCCGCCGGCGCAGCAGCACCCTTGGACACACGTGGAGGATCCCGTGGCCCACTGCCTGGAGGGGAAGAGCCTGCTGCTCTCCGGCATGCCGGGCACCGGGAAGACGCACCTGGCGAAGCGGATCGTGACGCAGCTCTCGGAGCTCGGCGAGGGGGTCGTGCTGATCTCAAAGACTCACTGCTCTGTGCAGAACCTCGGGATGGGCGCACAGACGGCGGACCGCTGGGCACGGCGCACCATCCGCGCTGGACGCTGCTCCCTGGACTGGCTGGTCGTGGAGGAGGTCACGCAGCTCGATGTCGGGCTGTGGGCCGACATTGCCGAGCTCTCCACGAACCGCCAGGTGAGATTCCTGCTCCTGGGTGATTTTAGGCAGCTTCGGCGGGCCCCCCTTTCTGGAGCTTGAAGGAGTCCCAGCTGCTGCACGACCTGGCTGGCGGCTGCGTGCATGAGCTCACGGAGAATCAGAGGAGCGACGAGGGGATCTTTTCCTTTCTGCGGTGGCTGAGGATGGACGAGGCGGAGCAGGTGGAGCTGCGGGACGGTGTGCAGAGGGCCCGGGAACAGTTCCCCCGACGAGGCCACCCGGACACGTGCCTGGTGATCTCCCACGCCCACAGGATCGCCATCAACGACAGGGAAAACCGGCGACTGGCTCCGGAGGATGCCGTGCTGGTGGAGCACCGCGGCTCGGGGCCGGCGGGGACCAACCAGCCGCAGACCATGCGCGTTTGGCCCGGGCTGAGGCTTGTAGGGGCCGGCGGGAAGGTGGCGAAGGGCCTCTACGTCGAGGTCAAGGAGGTGGGCGAGCGCTTCCTGCTCGACGACGGGCAGAGCTTCTCGCCCGCGGAGCTGCTGCGCTACACGCGGCTCTGCCACGCCATCACCTACGCGAGCTGCCAGGGGCTCACGCTCAGAGGCCGCGTCTGGCTCTGCGACGCCCACAATCCGCACTTCTCGATCAAGCACCTCTACGTCGGGGCGTCGCGGGCCACGAGCGCGGAGCTGCTCTCCGTGTGCTGATCGGGCAAACCGGGAATTTCCCGGTTTGGGAAGCTGCAAAAAAAAGGGCAGCATTCCGTTCCCCGACAGCCCCGCGAGGGAGGCTGAGAGGGTATCCCGCCCAGGCACACAGGCCTGGCGGGGGGTGGCGAGGCTTCGGAGGCGCCCCATTCACTGGACGCCTCCCCGGTGCCTCACGGACCGGCGCGAGCTTCATCGGTGGCTGGCGGTTACTGATGACCCGCCAATTGAGCCTTGAACAGTCAGGCACCACCTCCACTCGCTGGGACCGCCGTGCCACAACCTAGAGCCTCTCCCCGCAAGCGAGGATCATCAGCCCTAGGCCCCGGCTCAGCGTGCCCCACTAGGGTAGGAGTAGAGTAGCGGCGGCGGGCGCGGCGGGCGCGGCGGCGGGTGCGCGGTGCGAGGTGCCAGACAGGTGCCATATAGGTGCCATATAGGTGCCATATAGGTGCCAGATTTTTTCGCGGCGCGCGACGGCGGATGCGCGGTGCGAGGTGCTGAATCGGGTGCTGAATCGGGTGCTGAATCGCGAGGTGCTGAATCGGGTGCTGAATCGGGTGCTGAATCGCGAGGTGCTGAATCGGGTGCTGAATTGCGCGACAGGACTGCGCGCAGGTGGAAGCACGCTCTCTCTCTGGACGGTTTCCCCACCCCGCCCTCCGTTCCTGCTGAGAGGATCACGGATCTAAAATTTCGAGAGGACCTCGGAGGCCTTATCGGCTCTAAACTGCAACAGAGTGAAGTTTCGGGTCGAACAGGAGCTACGCTACAGCCGATTTCGTTGAAGGAAATCTGCGAGGGAGGAAGTCGAACAGAGAGCGAACGGAGCGGAGCGAACTGCAGTGAGCGAGTGGAGCGAGCGAGCGAAGAACGGAGCGCTAGCGGAGTCCGCGAGCGAGCGGAACGAGCGAAACTGCAGTTCGCGGAGCGAGTGAGCGAACTCTGTTCGACTTCCGATTGCGAGCAGATTTCCTTCAACGAAATCGGCTGTAGCGTAGCTCCTGTTCGACCCGAAACTTCACTCTGTTGCAGTTTAGAGCCGATAAGGCCTCCGAGGTCCTCTCGAAATTTTAGATCCGTGATCCTCTCAGCAGGAACGGAGGGCGGGGTGGGGAAACCGTCCAGAGAGAGAGAGCGCGGATCACACATCGACCTGGATCAGGTACTTGATGAATGCTTTTGGGTTGACGACTGCCGGATCTGCGGTGAACTTCGGACTGATAGTGAAACAGCTGTCAGCGCGTTGATTCGCCGAGCGAATCTTGGGATTCGGGTTGTGACTCAGAAAGCGCCACCGCCGGGACATGAATCTGTCGGTGGAGTTGAAAGAGCAGTTCGGACTTTAAAAGAGCTGTTCAGCACGACAGGCTTGACCTGCGAGCCCAAGGGTAGGATCTTGAAGTGCAGTCCACGTGCGTTTGAATTAGGCTTGGTCTACTGTGCTGCCATGCACAATCATCATTCGGCTGCGTTTGATGGCAAGAAATCTCCTCAGGAATTGGTTCTGCAGAGACCATTGGCTGAGTGTGCATCCACGTTGATCGGGATGACGGTACTTGCTGAATTACCGGATAGTATGAAGAAGACTTCTTTGTCGAGATTCGTGGAAGCAGCTTACTTGTATCCAGAAGTTGGTGGCTTGACCCATGTGGTGAGTTCACTGGTGAATGGGACGCCACATCACTATCGGGCGAAGTCGATCAAGCATATCACTCCTCTGAAGGTTGGGGTTGAGCATTGTGGACATTTGCTCAAGGCCTATGATCCTAGCGATACGTTGGCACCGCCCATCTTGAAAGAGTTGGATGATGGGATACCTTCTAAAGTTGAGGGTGAAGTCGACAAAGCCTTTGAAGGAAAGGTGTCTCAAGGACCGACCACTGACATGAGTCAGGTAGGACCACCGGCAGCTTGGAACGCCTGGATGTCCAGCGTGTGGTGAGAAGCGTGGAAAAGCCAATCACAATGCTGCTTGCAAATGGCGGTATGATAAGTGGTTGAAGGACCAACGTGAGAGGTTGGTTGGTGAAGGGGAGCAAGGGTCGGTTGAAGGTGAACCTGGATCAGGATCGACCGCGGCTCCGAAGGTTTCTTCAGAAGCGAGAAGCTCTGAGGATGCGGGGGTGCCTAGTGCCAGTGCACCTTCGGTGAAGCGTCCAAAGACCAGTCATGAGAGTGCAGGTCTGGAAGGTGAAGAGCCCTCAGCGGCATCTAAGCCAGATGTGATTGATGTGGAGATGTTCGAGGATCCGAGTATTCCTTATGAGCATATTACAGATGAGGAGATGCCTCCGGGATATTTTGAGCCTAGTAGGGTTCCCAGGCTGTTGGAGTCACTTCATCCAAGATTGGATGCTCCAGAAGGTTTTACCAGTGCCTGTGAGGAGTCTGGTGCGCCAAAGTTGGCTAAAGTGGTGAACGCGGTTCTGATTGAGAAGAACACTGTGTTTCCAGAGCAGGTCCAGATGTGTGGATCGAAAGTTTGGTTGGCCAAGATGAAGAGTGCGTTGTCTGAGCTGGATGGGTGTCCATTGGACGTATCGTCAGCTATGGAGGACGTACTGAACTTGGAAGCATGGATTCACATAAAGCAGGAAGGATTGTGTCTGCTGATGAGGCACATGCGTTTGCCAAGAAGCATGGGATCAGGATCATCCCTACCCGATGGGTGCTTGGACCCAAGGCTGTGAACGGGAAAGAGGCAGTGCGCGCACGGTGTGTGGTGCAGGATGTGGCTAAGGGTAGTACGGCTTCATCACTAGGTCTAAGTGCGACTACGCCGTCGTTGGAGGCCTTGCGAACTCTTTTGGCCATTGCTGCCAAAGATTCGATGGATATTTTGCTACCCTGGATGTCTCTACTGCCTTTTTGCATTCCCCCTTGCCCAAGGGTGAAAAAGCGGTGATCATGTTGCCGCGGGATGTGAGTTCAAGGTCTGATTATTACGCCCCGGCGTATATGATTCTTGATCAAGCAATGAACGGATTGAGAGTCGCCGCGAAGGCTTGGAACTTGAATAACTTGAAGTTGGCGAATGTGGTGAAGAAGGTTGGGTTGAATCACTGCCCTACTGAGCCATCGGTGTTTGAGGGAACTGTGAAAGGAAAACGGTTTCTCATGCTCTGTTATGTGGACGATTTGATCTTGTGTGGAAGCTCAGATGCCATTAAGTTGGTCACGGATACTTTGAACCGCGAGCTTAAGATCAAGGAAACGGGTCGCATCACTCCGACTGGAGGAAGAATTGTGTTCTTGGGAAGAGAGATTGAGAGGAATGGTGAGCATCTTCGGATGAGAGTTCCACCGAAGTACATGGAAAGTTTGTTTGAGACAGACTTTTGCAAGGACCTGAAGGTGGTGAGTAGTCCTCCGGATCTTGTGAAGATCGTTGAAAAGGGTCGCGCTGATCCTGAAAAGGATAGCTTGTTGACGGAGGCTGCTGCGATGCGCTATCGAGCAGTTCTTGGTAGGGTTGCTTGGTGGGGCCAGTCTCGTCCAGACTTGGCTCGTTGGATGTCGATTCTTTCCCAAGGCCAGTCGAAGCCTACGGCTTGTTTTGAGCATGCGTTGAGGCAAGTGATTCGTTTCTTGAAAGGCCAGTATCTTTGTTGGTCTTACTTTGGTCCTGGGAGTGAGGTCCCAGACGGCGGATCTGCCACGCTTGATGTGTATGCGGATGCAAGTTGGGCACCGCAAGAGTCTCTAGGAAGGAGATCAGTGTCAGGAATCGCCATCTTTTACCGTGGGTGTTTGATCAAAGGAATCTCGAGGGTTCAAGGGTGTGTATCCCTGAGCTCTTGTGAGGCTGAACTTCGAGCGATCTTGACCGCTGTGCAAGAAAGTGAGGGATTGGCAACGCTGATTGGACAGTTGGCAGGGTCCAAGGTTGAGATTAGGTTGCATACTGATAGTTCGTCGGCACGGGCTGTGTTGCTGAATCGGGGTTTGAGTCGAAGAGTTCGACACTTGGACATTGCTGTATGTTATCTTTAAGAGAGGATCCAAGAGGCACAGACCCTCAAGGTCCTTTGGTGTCCTACGTCAGCGATGGTGGCTGATATCATGACGAAGTGTTTGAGTTGGGAGATTTTCTTGAGACACCAACAAGCTTTAGGGATTTTTGAAGATGAAAACGTGCAGCAAGTTTGGAGGATTTGCGGAATTCGGTTTTCTCGCAGCGACTCTGGTTCAAGCGCCACGCAAGCTAGCCCCTCTGCGGAAGTCGTACCTTTGGTGAAGGACGACATGACGGATTCTCAGGCGGATACCCCGAAGGGATCCGTGGAGGCACCGTACTGGTGTAAGCAATGCAAGTGGCTGTTTAAGACAGACCATTCCCATGGACTGGGATGGACGGATGAGTACAAGCCCAGGTGTGAGAAGTGCCAGGGTGTGATAAGTGTTTGGGGATCCAATGCCTCCTACGCCTTTCATCTCCGAGAGGGAGAGAAAGAGAAGCGGTTTGCGAAAGGCAGCAAAGGGGAAGGCAAGTCCTCCCAGTGGGTGCAAGGCGATGGTGGAAAAGGTGAAGGCGCCAATCCGGGTGAGAGCCCGATGGCGAAGGGTGCACCAAGGCCTGAGGGGCCACCAAGTGTGATGCCCTTGTTTCCGGAGCTCAGTGGGAGTGAGGTGCCAGCGTGGTACACAGAGCTCTGGGAGAAGCTGGGTGTTCGAGGAGTCCCTCTTGATCAGATGGATCTCCAACCTTTGGTGGAATCCTTGTCGGGTGAGGATCTGGAGTGCTACAAGAAGAGCTTTGAGAAGCTCAGCCACCCGAACTATGAGGTGTATGAGCATGGGGATCCGATGCCTGGCAAAGTGGTTGCCGTCCTGGATATGAGATCGCAGTAAGGTGGAAAGTCGGTTATCTGGGAGACTGCTGTGAATGGAGGTTGCATCTACGTTGAAATGGGCCCTGGGTTGAGTGGTTTGGCAGTGCTCATGTTTGTGCAGTATCTGAAGAAAAAGGGGTGTCTGGTGCTTCTCCTTTTGAGTGGGCATCAGGACCAAGGGATATTGCGCATGTTGGATCTGCTTTATGCACTTCCCATTCTGGGAGTGGAGAGATGCACGAAGGGTGACCTGGAGACCACCTCCCATCCTCCCTGGGTGTGCCGGTGGAAAGAGCATGCTCAGAAAGGCAACGTGGTGTTTGAGACTATGGTGCCCAAGGTGTGTTGGATGTCTGATTTGACATGCCAAACCCTTAAGGTGTTCGACCCGAAGATGAAAGATCTCGGGAAGCCGTTGCCTTTGTGGGCCTACTTTGCCTACACCAACAATGATGTGGTGAAGGAAAGTTTGGTTGTGGAGTGCAACCACATGGCGGTGAAAGTTCCAACTGGTGTGCTTGAGAGCATCCGTGAGCCTATGATCTGGCAGTGTGACTGCGCATGGCATGCTGCTACGGACTACACCAGTCGGTTCACTACGAACCTCCCGTGCATCCTTTGGGAGCACATCTGGAAGTTTTTGGGTGGGAACACTCAGAAGCTGATGGATGATGGGCTCCGTGTGGAGCAAGCTGTGTTGGCAGCTGTTGCTGCTCGTGACATGGAGGTTGAAGCTGAGGAAAGGAGGAAGAGACGTGCGGAGTTGGATGCAGCTGAGGAGGAAGCTGCAAAGAGGGCCAGGTTGGAACCAGCACCAAGCTCTCCTGCGCCTGCGTCTCCGGTGTTTGATGGTGCGATGATCGCACAGATCGCTGCAATGGTGAAGGCGAGCCTCACTGTGGGAGATCTGGAGAAGATGTTGGATGAGAAGAAAAGGGCATCTGCGGCTGGCAGTGCCCAGGGATCTGAGCATAGCAGTGCTCAGCAGGATCTGCAGATGGGCCAAAGGGTTGCTGAGTTGGAGCAGATGAGGGATGCGGCAAAGGATCGCCGATCCCAGGTGGTTGAAAAGGCCTCTGAGAAGGCTGATGAGGCGAAGGGTGCAGCTGACCCGAAGGTGTAGCTGCTTGTAGTTTAGATGTGCCATGGCTCCTTCGCCGCCATGGCCCGAGTCCTTTTTGCGCGAGCCCTTGCCTTTGCAATCAGTGCATGAGTTTTCTGGAAGGCCTGCTTAAGGCCCTGAAGCCCTTCTTTTCTGGAGCAGTCGTCACGCGACGAGTTTTCTGCAGAAGCTACTTTACGCCACTGGTGACTTTGGTGAAGAGTGGAAGCTGCCCGGACAGTTCTCTGAGTCCCTTCGGACTACTTTTTGGAGTCAGGACACTGGGCGCTTTTCTGAAGGACCTGACACAGTGAGCGGGAACGGTCGTCGAGAAGAGGAACTGAGTGTTTCTGAACGGCCTTAGCTCTTTAATTAGGTTGGTACGTGTTTGTCACCACGAACTCTTGGTCCCTTGTCGGTCCGAGACCATCCTGTGCGAACGGTGCAGGTGTGCAAGAGTCTTCGATCAAAGATCGCCTGTGTGTGTCTGTGTTGTTGTGAGCGGCGAGTACGCACCAAGGGAATGTGGCCTGGGCATCCCCCTAGTGCTGAAGTGCCACTGCTGGTGCTTTGTCGTTTTCTGCGAAGATCTTTGTGGAAGCCCTCAGCAAAATGCGGGGGGTGTAAGATCGTAAGCGTTCGTAGTCGCTTGTAAAAGCACTCTCGCTTGTGAATTGTTTCGCTTCGGGAACGGTTTCAAGGTTTGATTGGGAATCTTGATGATCCCAAGGTTTGATGTGAAACCTTCCGGGTACATTTGAGAATCTTCGATCTCAAAGTGTACCTTTGTTGCTGTTGAGGACTCCTTGATGGATCCTCAGTGGTATGTTTATATCCCACAAGATTTACTCCGTAAATCTCTGTGTGGTTAGAGCCCAATACGCTATAATTCGTTTGTTTGAATTCGTTTCCACACTTACGTGTGAAGTCTGACGCACTCCGTGAACTTTGGCTCAAGCCGAGTGAAAAAGACTTGCAGCTGTCCGCTGTGCCCGTAGGGACTTGTTTCCAAGGGAAAAGGTCTAGGAGGGACCTTAAGTTTTTCACGAACCTTGCCTTCCAGAGTTGGCTCTGGGAGTTGCGACCGCTCACCGTGCTACCGCCTGGCCTTGTGCGTAGTAGGCAGCTTCTAATGTGTCCTTCCCTTTGCAGAGTTGCAGCAGCCTTGGCCACGCATGACGGTGTTTTGCTTACGAGACGGGAGGGCCATATCGTGTTCGCACCGGCCCTCTTACCACTTCCTTCCTCGCCTCCTTTCATCCCAGGAAATGGACTGTGCGACCTGTCACATTCGTTCTGCGTGGAGGATGTCATACGGATGTCCGCGCACTCGACAGCTCTTTCCTTTCCCTTGCCTCCATTGCCACTCGCCTTGGACTTTTGTTGACGCAGTCGACAAGGTCCGCACATGTCAAAAAATAATCGACTCCAAATCCAAAACCTCAACTCCGCGTGAAACATACAAACTGCTGCAATCGCCTGTTTTCACACGTGTTGGTTGTGCAAGGTTCCTTGCAGGTCCGTGCCAAGTTGTTTGTTCTGCGTAATGGAGTTTTGGTGGGCAAGGTTAGACAGAACTCTTAAAGCACTTCACGTTTTCTTTTTTGGGCCTCTAGAAAGACAGGTTTCTCCGACAAGTGCACAACAACGCTTCAGTGGCAGTCAGATTTGGTTTCATCCACCGTGATGCTCACAGTGGCAACTTGTTGTACTTCAAGGGCGCGGCTACAGACGATGTGACATTTAGCTGGTATGACTTCAGAGCAAGCTTCTTGCATCTTTTTTGTTCATGTCTGCTTCGCAAGGCGGCAAGGCTGGAGAGAAGTCCAGACAGGTACCTTTCAAGTTGTCTGCATCTTCGCAGGCAAAGATTTCTGACAAGACACTGCTTGGTGCTTCGTCCTGTGCCTTTCAAGTCCTTTGAGCCGATTGATCGAGGTTTCACCGTGTAATGTGCAGTGACCATGACTTGGGCGTCGCCGATGCTCATTTGCATTCTGATTTGCCTGCCCGCTGATACCGTCACAACTCGCCCTCGGAAAAGTTGCCAACCTTGTCACTCCTTGCTGGTGCCTCGCGCTGCAAAGAAATTGGATGACAGAAACCAGAGTCACAAGGCCAAGCATGAAAGTGAAAGAGTTGACAACTTTTATGGAACTTGGGTTGCGGAATGAACTTACAAGCGCCTGTCCACTGATGCTCAGACTGCTGCTGCCGAACATGAGTGCAGCACCAGCTGCAATCAAGTGCTCCCACGCTTCGAAGAAAAGATCGTTCAGTCGCGAGTGTGATTTGGCAAACATGTTACACGTTCATGTCGGCTTTAACCTTTTGAGCAACTGCAAATGTAGCTGGTTGAGGTTCAAGAATAAGGAAGGGAAAAATGAATGAACGAACGAACTAATGAATGAATGAATGAATGAATGAATGAATGAATGAACGAACGAACTAATGAATGAATGAATGAATGAATGAATGAATGAATGGATGGATGGATGGATGGATGGATGGATGGATGGATGAATGAATGAATGAATGAATGAATGATGTTTTCATGAAAAGAACGGGTGAGGATGAGTGGATGAGTGGACGAGTGATAAATGGATGAAATCCACGGAATGGAAAAGGAATGCATTGGCTTGGCTCTACTTGGGTTGGACTGGTTTGGATCGGGTTGATTTTAGGTGAACTGTTTAACTCTACCAGGTCAGCTGACTTGGATTGAGTTGAAGCGAATGTTGCATGTTCACCGTGTGGCGTGTTGCGTTCACAAAGACCATTGACGAGTAGGTTCCGCAGAAAATTAGTCGCATTGGTGCGAAACGAAGTTCACAAACAATGTGACATATACACCTTTTAACGGCGATGTCGCTCAATGGTGTGGATACGCAGCAATTGCACGTTTTCGACGTGCTCGTTTGAGGCTCAAAGTTTTCATCATCGGATGGAAGCGACCCGTGCAATGGATGTGCAGCCAACTCAGACGTTCTGGCTTGTCCCGGATTGGACATTGATTGTGGGGACATGACATATGCACGCTTTTTTTATCGCTTTGACATCACGACGGTTTCTGTCGAACTTTCTGCCATTGCTTCCGAAGTGTGAGGCAGATGTATGGGCTGGTGGTCCAGATTCTGCACAGGCCGTTTGCACACACGGAGCAGTGCAAAGCAATGGGACGTGCCGTAACCTTGAACCCGACAAAGTTTCTTGTACCTCCAACTGCAAACCAAAAGCCAGAAGCCGTAGACTTCAAGCCTATCAGGTGCAACATCTTGCCAGCTGTGGCATGTCTCGCAGTCCGGGCAGGCAAGGGGTTTGTTGTCTTATTGATGTATGTGGGAATATGTTGGATGTTCGATTCGTGGTCGGGGGCGTCTCGGAAGAACATGCTCATGCAGACACAACCGGTCGTATCCGGTGCTGATGTGTTCTCCGCGACGCGCTGTGTAGTTCAACCCATCAAAAAGAGGGCGTTTTAGCATCCTTTCAACGGTTGTGCACCCGTATCGTGGCCGCGGTCGGCATAGAACTTGGAGAGGGATGACCTGCGGTAGTCAGAAGTATATTACTCTGGTTCAACATGATGATTGCCAGTGCGAGCATCCGAGTGGACAGCCCTGGACCGTGGACCATCCCCTCATAGCTGTTTTGCTCGCTCCCTCGCCCCTCCCTCGCGCTCTTTAACTCTTGCCCCTCTGCCTCTATCTCTCTCTCTCTCTCTCTGTCTGTCTGTCTGTCTGTCTGTCTGTCTGTCTGTCTGTCTGTCTCTGCCTATAGAACATATATGGATATGTGTATGTGTATATTTCTGCATATTTCTGTTTTCTCTTCTTGTTGAACACACGCACACACAGATATTATCATCTCAAACTTGTGCCTGACCAGGAGCCCTTGGTTCGGATAGCTGCAACCTG